CCTAAATTTATGCAGATGGCGTGGATTATATCCCACTAAAACGTGAATTTATGCAGATGGCGTGAATTTAGCACACGAAAATCTGAGAATCGTCCTGAATTCGTGTTTTATGGCGCAAAAACGCAAGAAAAAAGGAACAATTATGGTGAAACTATGACTATTGTTCACTACTTCAGTTTTTATAGGCCCGCAAAATATTAGGAGATTCAAGGCCGATCGCCCAAATTCATGTAGATGGCTTTGACTTTTGTTCATTAGGTCGTGAATTCCTGTTTTATGGCCCTAAAATACCAAAAAATAAGGAACGGTCATGGCGAAGCAATGACTATTGCTCATTAGGTCATTTTTTATAGGCCCGAAAAATTTTAGGAGATTTGGAGCCAGTCGCCCGAATTCATGGAGATGGTGTGGACTATAGCACACGAAAATTTGGGAATCATCCTAAATTCTTGTTTTATGGCCCTAAAACGTTAAAAATGAGGAACGATCATGGCGAAGCAATGACTATTGTTCAATATGTCATTTTTATGGGCGCGCATTTTTTAGGAAATTTGGAACCGGTCGCCCGAATTTATGGAGATGGCATGAACTAGCATACGAAAATCTGGGAATCATCCTAAATTCATTAGGTCGTTTTTTATGGGCACGCAAAATTTTAGGAGATTCAGGATCAGTCGCCCGAATTCATGCGGATGGCATGGACTATAGCCCTCAAAAAAATGGGAATCGTCTTAAATTCCTGTTTTATGGCCCTAAAACGTCAAAAAATAAGGAACGGTCACGGCGTATGAGATTATTGTTCATTAGGTCATTTTTATGGGCCGAAAAAATTTTAGGAGATTCGGAGCCAGTCGTCCGAATTCAAGGAGATGGCATGGATTATAGCACACGAAAATCTGGGAATTGTCCTGAATTTCTGTTTTATGGCCCTAAAATTCTAAAAAACAAGGAGCGACCATGGCGAAGTGATGACTATTTTTCATTTGGTCGTTTTTGATGGGTTAAAAAAATTTAGGAGATTCGGGGTTGGTCGCCTTAATTCATGGAGATGGCGTGGTCTATCACACGAAAATCTAGGAATAGTCTTGAATTCCTGTTTTATGGCCCTAAAACTATAAAAAAAAAAATAAGGAATGGTCAAGGTGAAGCGTTGACTATTGTTCATTAGGTCATTTTTTATCTGCCCCTAAAATTTTAGGAGATTCGGGGTCGGTCGCCCAATTTCATATAGATGGCACGGACTATAACACACGAAAATCTTAATCGCCCTGAATTCTGGTTTTATGGCCTATAACGCCAAAGAACGAGGAACGGTAATGGTGAAGTGATGACTATTGTTCATTAGGTCATTTTTATAGGCCCCCTAAATTTTAAGAGATTCGGGGTCGGTCGCCTGAATCCACGCTAGGCATGGACTGTTGTTCATTAGGTCGTGAATTCCTGTTTTATGGCCCTAAAACACCAAAAACGAGAAACGGTCATAGAGAAGTGATGAATATTGTTCATTAGGTCATTTTTTATGGGCCTATGAAATTTTAAGAGATTCAGACCCGGTCGCCCGAGTTCATGCAGATGGCATGGAAATCGTCTTGAATTCCTGTTTTATGGTCCTAAAATGCTAAAAATGGGGGACGATCATGGCGAAGAGATTACTATTATTCATTAGGTCATCTTTTATGGGACGCAAAATTTTAGGATATTCGGAGTCGGTCGCTCGATCTCATGCAAATGACATGGGCTATCGCACACAAAAATCTGAGAATCGACCTGAATTCCTATTTTATGGCCCTAAAAAGCCAAAACAATGAGGAACGGTCATGGAAAAGCAATGACTATTGTTCATTAAGTCATTTTTTAAGGGGCCGCAAAAGTTTAGGAGATTCGGGGTCAGTCGCCCGAATTCATGCAGATGGCGTGGACTATAGCACACGAAAATTTGGGAATCTTCCTGAATTCCTATTTAATGGCCCTAAAATGCCAATAACGAAGAACAGTCATGGCGAAGTGATGATTATTTTTCATTAGTTTATTTTTTATGGACCCGTAAAATTTTAGGAGATCCGGAACCGGTCACCTGTATTTATGCAGATGGCGTGGACTATAGCTCACAAAAATCTGGAAATCGTTCGAAATTCCTGTTTTATCGATCTAGAACGCCAAAAATGAGGAACGGTCATGGCAAAGCGATAACTATTGTTAATTAGGTCATTTTTTATGGGCCCGCAAAAATTTAGGACATTTGAAGCCGACTTGAATTCATGAAGATGGTGAACTATAGCACACGAAAATCTAGAATCGTCCTGAATTTATGTTTTATGACCCTAAAATGCCAAAAATGAGGAACGATCATGTAAAAGTCAATGACTATTGTTCATTAGGTCATTTTTTATGGGGCCGCACATTTTAGAGATTTGGAGTCTGTCACCCGAATTCATGCAGGCATACAAAAATCTGGGAATTGTCCTGAATTCCTGTTTTATGGGCTTGAAACGCCAAAAATCGAGGAACGGTCATGGTGAAGCGATAACTATTGTTCTTTAGGTCATTTTTTATGAGCACGGAAAATTTTAGGAGATTCGGAGCCAGTCGCCCGAATTCATGCAGATGGTGTTGGCTATAGCATACGAAAATCTGGGAATCGTCCTGAATTCATGTTTTATGGCCCTAAAACACCAAAAAAGAGGAACGGTCATGGAAAAGCGAAGACTATTATTCATTAGGTCATTTTTAGTGGGCCCGCAAAATTTTAGGAGATTCGGAGTCGGTCGCCCGACTTCTTGGAGATGGCGTTAACTGTAGCACACGAAAATATGAAAATCGTCCTGAATTCCTGTTTTATGGTCCAAAAATGCCAAAAAAGAGGAACAATCATGGCGAAGCGATGACTATTTTAGGATATTCGGGGTCGATCGTTTGAATTCATGCAGATGGCGTGAACTATAGCACACGAAAATCTGGGAACCGTCCTGATTTCCTGTTTTAGGGCCCTAAAATGCCAAATAACGAGGAAAGATCATGGCGAACGATGACTATTGTTCATTATATTTTGACATTTTGGAGTCTTGCAACACGAATTTATGACTATATCTACTTTTTCATGTGTATTAGTACATGTTGATCTTGTAATTTTTTTGATGGACTCCGATTAGCCTGAAATTTTGTAGGTCTATAGGAAACGACCAACTGACTAATACTCATCGTTTCGCCATGACCTACGGGTTCATTTTTTGGCATTTAGGGTTCATGCTATACGGATTGTGAGTATATCCACTTTTTCGTGTATATGTACGTGCTGATTTTGTAGAATTTTATTGACGGACTCCGATTGGCCTGTAATTCGTAGGTCCATAGGAAACGATCAAGTGACAAATACTTACCGCATCGCCATAAATTTCGGGTTCATTTTATGGTATTTGATGGTTAATACTCTGATTTGTGATTATATACACTTTTTCGTATGTATTAGTACATACTGATTTTGTAATATATTTTTAATAGACTCATATTGGCCTGAAATTCTATAGGTCCACAGGAAACAGCCTAGTGATCAATACTCATCAGTTACGCATAAATTTCAGGATCATTTTTTGATGTTTCGGGGTCATGCAATACAAGTATATGATTATATCTATTTTCATGTATATTAGTACATGCTGATTTTGTATTAAAAAAAATTGACGGACTCCAATTGGCTTGTAATTTCGTAGGTCCATAGAAAACGGCCTAGTGACAAATACTCATCGCTTCTCCATGACTTTCGAGTTCATGTTTTGGTGTTTCAGAGTCATGCAGTATGAATTTTTGATTATATCTATTTTTCCGCGTAAATATGCTGATTTTAGATTTATTTTTTTTGGACTCTGATTGGACCGAACTTTCGTAGGACCATAATAAACAGCCTAGTGACTAATACTCATATAACGACCCAGGCGGCGTTCTTATATATTAGAGCTACATTTCCCTATTTACTGCATCTGGTATGTTTGTTATTTTGTGACTTGCAGGAATGATTGGTTTGGTTTGGGGAAGGTTTGGGAGTGAACCGAAACACTAAGTTCCATTTTGGAAAGCTTAAGTTGTTAGAGTTGACCAAGGTTTAACTTTTGAATAGATGACCTCAGAATGGTGATTTGATGGTTTCAATAGATTCTATGGTGATTTTGGACTTAGTCGTATGTTCGGATTTGCATTTGGAAGTTCCTAAAAGGTTTGGGCTCTATTTGCCGAAAGTTGACAATTTGAAGAATTTGAGAGTTGGTAGGTTTGACCGATAGTTGACTTTGATGTTATCGGACTCCGATTTGTGTTTCGCTACATTGGATAGGTTCATTTAGTCTATTGGGACTTGTGTGCAAAGTTTGATTGAAACCCATAATGCTTAGGCATGATTTGGACGTGTTTAGCAAAGTTGGATAGTTTGGAAGTTAAGAGATGGAATCTGACCTTCGAATAATGTTACTCATGGTGTTTTGAGCATTTGAATAAGTTTGGATAGGGTATTAAAACTTGTTGGTATAGTTAGATGGGAGCCGGAGGCTCGAGTGTGTTTCGAATTGATTCCGTACAAGTTTGGAGATTGTTAGTATTGCTGGTGACACTACTTGATATTACTTCGACATCTCTTATTTCTTCTACTTTCCGAAATCTAAAGTCTGATGATGTGGAGAGTTATGGTAACTGGCTGTGGGGCTTGATCAAGAATTCATGCCAGTTATGAAGATATTGCTCAAGCATTCTCCTAGTCTGTGAGTTCTTAAATTGTGGTTTAACTAATTCTTCTGAACAACCCTATTTATTTTACACGGTAGTTGGTCGAAGGACTGATAAGTTTTGTGATACTAGAGGCGTGATTAACGTGAAGGGATTCGTTCAGCAACTGAAGACTCAAAAACTGACATCACCAACCATTCCTAGGAGAAGTTGACTATAATTGATGATAAATGAGTTGACAAACAACTCAGCATTTAGAACTTCTCTGTTAGTCCGAATCCTCCAACCCGTTTGGAAGATAAAATTCTTAAAAGTTAAATAGAAAAAAGAAAATAACCGATCGTTCCACTAGAAAGAGGATCTGAGTCTGCTATACTTCTTACAACGGGAAGGGCATAAAATCCCACCTGAACTCGGGCAAGAGAGAAATAACTAATACAACCCGTATCCTAATAACTACAATTCTATTTCTGGAACAAATAATAATTTCACTAGCCCTTCCAACATTCTTTTCCGAAAAAGAATTATGCCTGCACACTCTGCAACAGAGATAATTGCAGCCATTAACCAAGTCAGTCGTTCAATTTAGCGCATAAGTGCCTCATAAATTATATGATACAAGAGGCTTGGTCTGATTTCACACACGCTATCGCAAGACTTGTTCTTGAATCTTGGCTTCTATTACCAATCATTCCCGACTTCTTCTAAACAGACAGACTCATTGATCCAACAACTCTCAACTCAGCTACCAGGATTACTATTTTGATTTAACTGCACCTTTTCTTCACCAGTAGAGGAGTTATTATATACCAAAGGTGGCATTGTAGTGAACCCATTCTCTTTAATTGACCCGTCTTTTGAAGCAGAAATCGTGGTTTTTTCCACTGACTTCACAGGTGACTCTTCGGGAACCACCGGCTCTGTTTGTGTCTGCTGCTGCTGTTGTAATAATTCAATGCGCCTCAAAGATGGCACATCTCCATCACAGTACCTGCGCCACATACTCCTGTATATTGACTCAAGATTTTGGGTGAACTGTGTCCCCTCACAAAGTGGTGATTTTGACATGAGTTCTCGAAGACTCATTCTCAAGTTCGACAGAGATGTAACATCTGAAGCCAACTGTATAGCCGACTCAACATACTCGTCTTCATTCCTCGCCACAAGGTTCTGTAACCCTAAAATGCAAAATTGCCAACCAATTGTACAATGTGTTAGAACGAACTTGTGAATTTTCCCCTCGAACTTCTTTCCAGGGTCAACCCTTCTGAGATTTTTCACCCCCTTTTTGGAAACTATACTTTCATCAATTGGCAAATGCAAGCACTAAGAGTTCATAAGCAGGGGTAGAATAAAATTAAGATTAATAAACATACTTACCAACTGTCTTAAGAAGACTCACACCAACATTATGAGCGTGTATGGAACCTCCCATAGTGACACAAGGAACTCCCATGTATAGTGATTCACATGTGGTGGTTGTTCCAGCATAAGGAAAAGTATCCAAGCTACAAAAAGTGGATCATAATTACAAGCTGAGAATGTTTCCCTTTAAGAGCAAGCAATAGAGGATGTAGGCAAGTATGTCACCAAATCTTTATCATAATTGATAATTGTCTAACAGAATTTTTTGAGATGCCAGATTTTACACGGATAGGAAACTTCTAAAAAACCCTACTGCTGAAAACAAGATATACCCCAGTCCAGCAACATGAAATTACACATTTTATGCACTTTTAATTAAGACTTAACCAAATTTGATAAAGTTATCATTTACCAAGTATCAAATGACCATTAAATATCTGACAAAATGATAATAGAACTGAGATAACCTAAGCATAACTTATATCTAAAACTGCAGGAGGAAAAAACACAATATTATCATATCATATGTTTCAGGGAATATCCTTTTATTGAAAAAGGGCCAAAACTACCCGTATTGTTTGGTAAATGATTTATAGATACCCTCCGTCCATCTTTCAGTCCAAAAATGCACGTTACGTCCATATATCAGTCCCAAAAATACAAACGACGTTAATTCTATTAATAAACTTGCCCCACGTCTAACAGCAGAATCGATGGACCTTCAACTTAATGGCATGTCACTTTTTTACTGGGCCACGTGGCAATTTCGGGCTGAAACCAAATGTGGGTTTAATTTCGACCCATTAAATGGATCCGACCCTGGTTTTTGTTACCACACCCACTCCCACTCACCTGACCAGCCCCCTTTCGTCTTCTCCAGCCATAAACCTCAATTCTAGGAAACGAACATGCCAAGATTCAAAGAATATATGGGAAATAGATGGACCTACCATCTTCAGCTGATTGGCAAATGTTTTCTCTCACTATCATCCATCAATACTTCGCCGGCCATTTGGTTAACCGTGCCCTCGCCACCATTTCCCTTGTCACCACCCTCTTCATGCATATTATCTTCGGCTTTTGGACATGTCATTCTTTTTAGAAAATGGGTGGACTTAGGGTAGCAATAAAATCTTAACACCTATTTACAATGAAATCACATAGCATGGAGGTGGCAAAAGCATCAAGAACAAGCCACGAAAACATCAACGGTGTTTGCCGACCATATCTGAAAGATTCCGGTCATGTTCATGACTACTTGTCACTGTTGGTTTACCATTTTCGGCGAGGAGATCCGGTGGTTGCCATCGTCGGTCGTGGAAGAATGGTGTCGATAGTAGCACCCTGGAGAGAGGAGGTTAGGTTATGAAGAACGTGAGAGAAAGAGAGGCGGAAAGGTGGGGGATGCCGAATTTCCGACGGTGGCGGCGATTGGCCGGTGGTAACGCTGGCAGTGGTGGTGATGGAGGAAGAGAGGCTAGCAAGAGGATTTTGGGGTTTAGGTGGGTGGAAGTGGGTATGTTGGGTGATAAGGAAGAAAGAAAATAATTAGGCGGGTCAAATAAATTGGGCGGGTGTTATACCCAGTTTGGTTTCAGCCCGAAATTGCCACATGGCCCAGTAAAAAAAATGCCACATCATTAACTTGAAGGCCCACGGGCTCTGCCATTATACGTGGGGGCAATTTTATTAATAGAATTAACGCCGTGCATATTTTTGGGACTCATAGATGGATGTAATGTATATTTTTGGACAGACAGATGGACAGAGGGTATTTGTAAACCATTTACCAAATAATAGGGATAGCTTTGACCATTTTCCGTTCTTTTATTGACACAATCAGACATACTAGAACACTTAAATAAGGCAATTTTAAAATGAGGGTGATTCACAAAGACTTCCTTCTAATTCAGCGAAACTAGATGGACCTCCCCTGCCAAAAATTTAAGACCGATGGCGATTATATTTGGTAAGATTTGACAATATCATCCTTCCTTTAACGTGTCCATACAATTAGGCAACAATGAAAGAAGATTGTGGGGCATTACTTTCATGTTAAAGTTCCTTTTTGGCATTTCTTTCTTCTCTTATTTTTCCTTCTTTTTTTTTTTGTTTGTTGGCAGGTAAGGAAGGCTCTGTTTGTTTTATAAAGATTAAGACGTTTAAATCTGGATACACTTTTGCTTATTAAGATAATGTATCTAGATTCAAACACTGGATCACTAAAATTGCTTTTTCAGCATCTTCATCTGGATAAATTATCTTTATTCGAAAATAAATAAATAAATAAATAAATATATAGAATTCAAATAAATTACTACTAAGTACTATACCCACAAAGATATTAGAGAATATTAATTTACATGTTGTAGTATAATTTTTTTTTATTTTTTTGATAAACCAAACTAAAACTAACAGCATGGCTGGAGGTGGTGGTAGCTAGTGACAATAGTTGTGAGGTGGTGGTTGTCGTGGTTGTATGGAGGAGGTTAGTGATGGTTGTGCAGTGGGGCAGGCTATGGTGGCTGTTCAATGGTGGCTAGAGGCGATGGATGTCTATGTGACTGATAGGGATGGTTGCGGTGTTAGGTGGTGGTGATGGTGGTTGTGGTAGAAGTTGGCGATAGAGGGGGCGATAGAGGTGGTTGGTGATACTGACTAGTGGTGAAGATGGTTGGTGATGGTGATTGTGCGGTGGTTGGTGGTGGAGGTGGCTGATGGTTTGGTGGTAACGTTTGACGGGTGAGGAAGTCACTGGTGTTGGCAGGTCATGGAGGTGGTTGACGGTGGTGGTAGTAAAAAGAGTTGTGCAAAAGGACATTTTAAGTAGACATTTTAATGATATTAAAACTCTGCACAAGATCTAAATGATTCAAACCTGTTGAGAGCTAACAAGTAGTTACTATGAAAGAATAAAAAATGCACTTAATACATAGGGATGGCAATTGGGGCGGGGCAGGGCAACCTCACCCACTAAGATTTTGACCTGCCCTGCCCCGTTTAACCTTGTTCCAAAATGTTGCCCTGCCCAATTGAGCCCTGCCCCGCCCTGCCCTGTTTAGATTCACTTTCATTTTTTTTTATTTTTCCAGTAGTCTAAATTTTCATATGGCTTTGCTATTTCACTTGATACTTCCATTTCCTTTCAGTGGTTCAATTATCAGCCTGAATTCTTATGGAATCCATCTGATGTGGCTGGGGACTCCTATTCTGGAATAGGCGTACCAATCATTTCTCAACTCATAGGAAATGGTCCTTAAACAAAGTGCACTGTTATTTGCCTCCAAGAAACATCATTTGTTTATTTTCCCCTTGAATAATCATTCCCCATTTTTAAAATATATTACAGAACTAACCCTTATTTCTATGTCAGTTATACGCATTTTCAAAATTTATGTCCAAATTCTACTATCCTTTAAAGGTAAATATCTCAAATTTGCGTCTGTAACATCCTCTAGCTACTTCAATGTTTACTAATTAAGAACGTTTAACAATAACATGCAGAAGAAGGAACAAATCAACCAAAAATAGAACTGGAAAAAGCCATTATGATGAAATTTGACCAACAACCAAACACCTCAACTTAAAAACTTTTAATTATACATATAGTCAAATACATAGTCACGTACACAAAATCTTACATATTCAAGTACATATTTATCAATTTATGAAAGAAATGAAGAAATGGACAATAAAACAAGCAAAGAACGAATTGGGCCTCAGGCTACCTTATGACCCACTATTGGAACTAAGGGCTGACCTACAACCTGCCCTGCCCCATTAAGATTCTTCAAAAATGTAATTTTGCCCTGCCCTGCCTTGCCTGCCCCGCCCCGCCCCATTTACTTGTTCCCCTGCCCTGCCCGTTTAGTGTTTGCCCTGTCCCACCCCAATTGCCATGTCTAATTGAACAATTCAGATTCAGACATCCATCACGTGCAAAACAGATAAGGCCTAAGAGCAGTTGCATAAGTGAGAGAAATAGGTCACCAGGTGGGAGAAGGCGGCATTGGGAGGGAGGCCTAAGGGGAGGGGAGAGGGAGTGTTGGAGTGAATTGGATTCGGCTGATCGACTGATTCTATTTTGTGTCCCTTTTTCACTTCCTACAGTCTTTAGTTAAATACAATTAAATCAGAAGCGAACTTGGAAAGAGAGTTATGAATTCTGGTGACAAGCTGCCATTTAATAGTCAAACTAATGGAGATTGATGGCAGAAAAGGTCCCTGCATACATACTCCCTTTTATTTTAATGGCAAAGAGATTTCATTAAAATCTAGCACTAAGATGGGGCTAGGTAAACTGTACAAGTGCAGCACTTAACAAGCATTAATCAAATACAAAATGTTTCTCAGCTTCCATGACAATATATGCTGTGACTTACTGCTGACAGTCTTGCAGCAAATTTGCAAATTTGTACCCCCTCCGTTCCACTTTGTTTGGCACTATTTTCTTATTAGTCCATTCCAAAAAGATTGGCACATTCCTATATTTCCTTATGGGAAGCTTTTATAGCCACACAAATGCTATGACTTGTTTAATACCATATGTTTCAAAAGTTTTATAGCTACATAAAATGTTATGGCATACTTAGACCACAAGTTTCAAAAATCTTCCTCTCTTTATTAAACTTTGTGCCAAGCCAAACTACGACAACCAAATTGAAACGGAGGGAGCAATTAATAACACAAAGAGGTAGTTAACTTCAGTGAAGAAAACACAAGGGAGCCCAACATTTAATTTAGAATTCCCTTCCAATGACCACTTGAAATAGTACGATAGTGAAAAATATTGGAAGTTAAACAATTCACAGAAGCAAATTGATAAATCACACCCTATGTGCAAGAAAAGAAGAGCATATGCATGTAAGGGTGCCCAAACCCCTTTAAAATATATTCCAGGGAGAAGAGATGGAGGTAGTAACAGCAAACGTATTCTTTGAGTATCTTCAAAGTGAAGCCTGATACCCATATAAATTTGGAAGTGGAACTAAGAAAACAGCCTTATGAACAATTTACAAATGAAATCAAGAGCAGCCCGGTGCACTAAGCTGTAAATTGAAATCAAGGTCAGCCCGGTGCACTAAGCTCCAGCTATGCGCGGGATCCGGGGAAGGGTCGGACCACAAGGGTCTATTGTACGCAGTCTTACCCTGC